GTTTTTCAAACTTTCGGCTAAGTATTCATAGTTATTAGATAGGTGTCTCGATTTTCTAAATTTTTCTTTGATTTCTTGGATTTTGCTTTCTCCTTTATTTTTTTGTTCTAATTCCTTCTCTCAGGCTTTTCCTTCTTCAAACATTTCTTCGAGGTGTTTAATATCTTCTTCTTCGTTCTCGTGGTTTGCGGGCTCAACAATGGTTGAGGCAGTAGTAATCTGAGAAATAGGTGCTCCGGGTTCGTCTTCGGATTTGCCAAAGGCATTGATAGTAGTTTCGGAGAAATTGAAGTAGTCGCTCTCTTCTCCCCCACTTTCTTTCATTTGCGGAGTTGGCTGAGTAGAATATAAACCTTGGGTTTGTTTCCGTGCAAAATTAGATTCGGAATTAAAAGCAGCAATAGTATTACTCCGGCGATGGGGAGGACGATTAGAAGGATGAAAAGAATCATGGTTGAGATTTATAACTATTTGTTTGGCTTTGGCTAATCTTTGCTGCAAAATAGAGACCAGGATTTCTCAACACTTTTGCTGCTGATTTTTACAATTTCCTTCACAATTTAATAATTGTTTTTGTTCTTCTGGATTAAGTTGGTAAGTAGAAATTCAATTTTGTTTAATAGCAGCAAACTCCGCAATTTTCTTTTGGTCAAGTTCTTTTTGTATTTCGTCACTTAAAAAGGATTGCTCCGGCATGGGGAAAAAGTTGCTGGCCTCCTTTTCGGCTAATTTTTGGTTTTTGGCTTCTAAATCTGTTTGGTAGATTTCCAGGAGCTTTTCTAAATCCCGGATTTGGGCTTGGAGAGATTGGATTGATTGTTGGGCTTTGGCTTGGAGTTGTTCGTTTTGTTCGTGGAGAGTAGTCAAATCGTTTTGATGATTGTTCTCCTGCTCTCAGAAAGCAGTTTCGTATTGGGATAATTGGGCTTTTAATAAAGCAATCTCTTGGTTTAATTTTTCCTTTTCGACCGTTAATGCTTGAATTTGGGCTTCCAAACTTTTTTTTT